TAAATGTGATAGCCCGGATGTAGGTCTCCCTTGTTCCTCCTCCAGAGATGGAATTGAGAGCAGTCGACTCCTCTCCATTAACCAGAATTCCTTTGCTGCTTGGTTTAACCTGGGATGACGAAGTTCCTGAGTTGAGGAGGCCAGTGTGCCATTGTGCAAGGGTGTTTGCTCAGGCCAAGGTAGAGTAAACAAGTCCTCCCTGAGGGCCTCCTCTTCTCCTCCTCAGCCCCTCGTCTCACCTGGTGGTCTTCCTCCATCTGACAGGTGATATGACTTTCTTCGGTCTCATTGTTGCCTCCTGCAGTCTTGGCAGAGAGATCAATGAAGCCAGTGGTGGGGATTGTTATCTTCTGGATAAACAAAGCATCCAAGGAAGACAGGGGCACTGAGGAAGGAAGGGCCTGTTGTCTTCAGGAAGCTGGGTGTGAACATCAAACATGCCTTCTCCGGGACAGGTTGAGTCAGAGGCCTGCTTGGGGCAGGTCTCTCTGTCATAACCTTATCCATCTGATTAGAAGGGAAAACATCTTTCTCGTTTTTCTGAACAATAACTTTGTTCTCATCTGAACCACTGCAATATACTCTACATGGGGCTGCCCATGGAGAACATCTGGAAGGTTTTCTTAGTCCAGAATGTAGTTCCCTAGTTAGCAGCTGGTGTTAATCCCCTAGAGCAGTGTTTCCCAACCTCAGCAGTTCTAAGTTGTGTGGACTTCAACTCCCAGAATTCCCAACTGGCATGAAGGCCAGTAGGTATTTTTCAGTAGCGACACCCACTCTGTGGAATAAAATCTGCTCCACAATTAGAATAGAATAGAGCTGGAAGGGACCTTGGAGGTCTTCTAGTCCAGCCCCCCACTCAAGCAGGAGAACCTATGCTATCTCAGACAAGTGACTGTCCAGTCTCTTCTGGGGTGTTGGCTATTCCTGCCAGTTTGGTGTCATCTGCAAATTTGATGAGTTCCCCTTCTATTCCCTCATCTAAGTCATTGATGCTATGATATTGAAGAGTCCTGGGCCCAAGATGGAACCTTGTGGTATCCCACTGCTTACTTCTCTCCATTAGGTCCGCCCAGCCTGGTTTAGCCCTCCAGAAGCTTTTGAAAATTGAACTATTCTGGAAAGCCTTTCAGAAACAGGACGTCAGATTAGTTTATGGTTTTATGTTTATAGTTTTGTCTTATTTGAAATGTACTAGGGTTGTTTTATTACTACCTAGTTTGTATAAACTAAGTCACATGATTAGAGTGTGAAGAAAAGAGCAGAAGAAGGTGAAGATCTGTCATTTTGCATATTTTCAATTTGTTCATTTTATTTGCCTCCATTTCTGCTTGGTCTGTCAGTCCTTCTTTTGCATACAAACTGACAGAACATAGTTTCTCTACTCTGCATCTATTTATCTATCAAATTTCTATAGCTGCCCATCATACAAAAAGTGACTCTGGGAGGCACATAACAATTTTCTAGAAATGTCAATGTATACTATGAAATAAATAAATAATGACAACATTCCTATTAGAAATTTTTCATTTGGTCAATTATTACTTTTCTGGAATCAAAGGAAACTATTATTGCCTTTTGCTTAAAAAAAGAAGGAACTGAGATGGATCTCTGAGGCCGTGTTCTCTGGCCTACAAGCTTTCCGCCAAGGGTTTCATCCCACCTCATTTAAATATGGGATTCTTCGTGAGACGAGCTTTGCTCCTGGTAAAGGTTTCCCCCATCCAGTCATCTCCAGGGCGCAGAGGTCATCTCCGTTTCTCGGCTGAGGGACCCGGCGTTGTCCCAAGACGCTTCTGTGGTCATGTGGTCAGCATGTTTATATACCGAGGCTCACGGAACGCTGTTTCCTTCCCACCAAAGTGGCACCTCGACTTACGATAGTTCATTTAGTGACCGTTCAAAGTTACAATGGCACTGAAAAAAGTGACTTCAGACCATTTTTCACACTTGTGACCATTGCAGCCTCCCCATGATCACATGATCAAAATTCAGAGGCTCATATTTATGACAGTCGCAGTGTCCTAGAGTCACGTGATCACATTTTGTGACCTTCTGACAAGCAAAGTCAATGGGAAAGCTGGATTCACTTAACAACCGGTTTACTAAGTTAACAACTGCAGTGATTCACTTAACAACTGCAGCAAAAATGTAAAATGGGACAAAACTCACTTAATAAATGTCTCACTTACCAATCGAAATTTTGAGCTCAGTGGTGGTCTTAAGTCAAGGACTACCTGTATTTATCTACTTGCATTTACATTTTTGAACTGCTCGGTGGGCTTGCCCCAGCTCCTGCCCAGCTGGTGATTATAAAGACACATTAATGTTATTGCCACAGTTTTTTTCAGAATTTCTTAAATTTTTCCTATTTCCTATCAAGAAAATGTTTAGCCCTGGAATTTCTTTCTGGTCTCCTATTCAAACAAGATCTAAATTTTCCTCTTTTCAGTCAAGGATGCGCTCTACATGGGGCTACCCTTGAAGAGCGTTCGGAGGCTGCAGTTGGTTCAGAATGCAGCCACGAGAGCGATTGTGGGTGCACCAAGGTACACCCACGTGTCACCTATCCTCCGCGAGCTGCACTGGCTTCCTGTGGGTCTCCGGACGCAATTCAAGGTGTTGGTTGTCACCTTTAAAGCCCTTCATGGCTTAGGACCAGGTTGCTTACAGGACCGCATACTGCCGCATAGTTCCCAGAGACCGGTGAGGTCCCACAGATTGGGCCTCCTTCAGGTCCCGTCGGCCAGTGTCGGCTGGCGGGCCCTCGGGGAAGGGCCTTTTCTGTGGTGGCTCCGATGTGGTGGAATCAACTTCCCCCCGAGATTCGAACTACTCCCACCTTGCCGGCCTTCAAGAAAGCCATTAAAACTCTCCTGTTCTGGCAGGCCTGGGGTTGATGTCCCCGGGGGGGGGAGGGGGGGGCGGGATACGATTGGGACATGCTGTGTGAATGTACTCATTTTTATTGTTATATTTATTGTTTTAATTTTGTACGCCGCCCTGAGTCCCTAGGGATTGGGCGGCATATAAATTTTATTAATAAATAAATAAATATTAATAAAAGGATAACAAGATGCGGCCCCTGTTGTTGAATGAAGATACTATCTTCAATATCATTGCCTTCAGACTTGGATATCACTTTGTGAAAAATACAGATTGTCATGGTTCCGATAGATGAAACCATTTAAAATAATATAATATAATACCATTATCTGTACTTAAATAAACCATAGCCAAGTCTGAAGGTAATACTTTATTTCAATGCATTAAAAATATCCTTGATCTTCCCTAAAGACTTGTCAGACATAAAAAAGCAGAATAACAGAGTTGGAAAGGATCTTGGAGGTCATCTAGTCCAACCCCTTGCTCAAGCAGCAAACCTTATACCATTTCAGACAAATGGCTGTCCAGTCTCTTCTTAAATGCTTCCAATGTTGGAGCACCCACAACTTCTGGAGGCAGGTTGTTCCACTGATTAATTGTTCTCACTGTCAGGAAATTTCTCCTGAGTTCCAGGTTGCTTCTCTCCTTGATTGGTTTTCCCCCATTTCTTCTTGTCCTGCCTTCAGGTGGTTTGCAGAACAGGTTGATCCCTCTTCCTTACAGCAGCCCCTCAAATATTGGAAGGCTGCTATCATGTTTTCCCTAGTCCTTCTTTACCTTAAACTAGACATACCCAATTCCTGCAACTGTTCTTCGTGTGTTTTAGCCTCCGGTCCCCTAATCATCTTTATTGCTCTTTTCTGCACTCTTTCCAGAGTCTCAATATCTTTTTTTATACCTTGGAGACCAAAATGGATGCAGTATTCCAAGTGTGGCCTTACCAAGGCATTATAAAGTGGTATTAACATTTCACGTGTTAATAGGAGCCTTGGCTTTCCCTGTGGAATCATCTGACATGGTTCATGGAATTGGGCTAGTGAAAAAAAAAAACCCCAAAAACAAGAAACGGTGTAGAATCTTTTGAGGGCTGATTTGTCTTTCTGCAAACTCCATTCCGCTCTTGCGCTTTTCGATGTTGGAGCGCCCTCTCGTGGGGAGTAGTTTGCCCTGCGAGGCTGCCTTTGGAACATTGTCACCACTGAGATACATCACATCTGCCATCGCCATCTCTACTTTCCCGGCATCCCCACAGTGAGTGCCCTGATTGAGAGAGGCGGGGAAGAGAAATGAATGGGAAATAAGCCAGGCATTCCAGGTGGATTGAACTTAGATCTCTTGTGGGCATGCAGGGACTTGTGACTTATGACCTATTTGACCCCTCCATTGGGCTCAGCCTGGCCACCTACAGTTCCCAAGAGAATCTGGGTTCTCCCCTATATGATGAGATTCTTGTAAACAGGCATGCAGTAATAAAGAAGTGACTTTGATCAGCTCACCGTGTTGTTCTGGTTCCTTGTGCCTGACAAAAAAGAAGGAATCGGCCCACAGCTGCCTAGTGGGCAGAGCAAGAAGCTCAGGAGGGTATAAGCCAGCAGGTCTGAATTGTACTTGCAAGATTCTGTCAATGCAGCTTTACAATAAAATAGAATTCACTCATCTGGTGGTGATCTTATCTGGTGCACCTGGGAAAGCTGATAATGACTTTACCTGCCTCTCTTCTATTCTATTCCCCCACACACACACACTCTTTCATTCCAAGCTGTTATTATTGTCGTGGGGGTGGATTTTCCAGTTACTCTTGACTCTTGCTATGCAGTCTGTGCAGTTTTCTTGGAGACGAACTTCAGAAGTGATTTGCTGACATGTCCTTCCAGGATGTTTTGGGGCATCCCAGTGGAAGGCTGGGGAGATCAGGGTTACCAATACCCCAATAGGCAAAAGAGGACACAAACCATTGGAAAGAAGAACCGAACGAATGGGAAAGAAGGACACACTACTTATTTAATCTTCATGGCATCCTTGACAAAAATTAAGTGAAAAACTGCAAAAATAAAAGCTACATAGGCCTACATATATAGTTTATTTTTTATTTGTTAAATTTATATGCTGCCCATCCGTTATCCAATTACTTTTTCTAACATCAGGAAGACTAGTTTTTCAATTGTAATTTTTTCCCAACGTATCTTTATTTGCAAGAACAGATGCTAGCGGTAGTGTAGAATCAATAACACCCTTTTCAAATTTCACATCCCGAAACATATGACGAGTCCTTCAATCCACAGACCAACACGATCACAAATTTGAAGGGGCCAGATTGAAGCCAATGGCTGGAATCAGGAAAATAAGTAAATCACGTAAATTAAGTTTGTAGAGTCTGTTGACAAACGAGTCAAAGACAATTTGTCCCAGTACACAAATTTTCAATGACGACTCTTGTGAAAGCAATCCAAAAACAGTAACAACAACAGGAAGACACTTAAAAAGCCAGACGTACTTGATTTGAAGGCTATGCCTGCCAAACGGAGAACATGAGGATAAAAAGGAAACATCAAAACATAAAACCACAGGACTGGAAGGGACCTTGGAGGTCTTCTAGTCCAAACCCTGCCCAAGGCAGGAGACCTTATATCATTCCAGACAAGTGAATGCCCAATATTTTCTTGAAGATCTCTAGCAATGGAGAATCCAGACTCTGAGAGGGAAGCTGGTCCATTGACTAATTTCTTTCACTGTCAGTGTCCTCCTTCTGCTGGACACCTCGTAATCTTAGGAGAGAGGGACCTTACCCCAAAATGGAACACTCTTTACAAACTAAGTCTGAATGCCTGCAGCCTTTTCTTGTAAGGGAGTGACATCCTTACAAGCCTTCTGGTCATTCCGCAATCCTCTTGCGCACTTTTTCTAGCCCAGAACCTCTATTCCGAGCTATCTAGGATCCAGGGCTGTACATCTTGAAAAGCAGTCTCATCCTGTATTTGCAAAATACATTGCTTTTTTGCTCCTGCCCATTAGAAGCCAATTCCATTGAGTTGTACCTTCAGAGCTGGCTGAAAAAAACCTCCCTGGCCTTTGATGGAGTTGCTAGAGATAAATATATTGATAAGTTAAGCAAAATTAAAAATGTTAAGAATTAACTAAGGGCAAGTTAGATTGAACGGATAATAAGATAACCTCCAGATGTTCATCATAGACAGATTTCCAGACAGTTAAATTGCTTAATGCATTTCCTTTGGCTAGCCTATCAATCTCGCAGCCTGTCTGAGAGGCTTCGCTAATAGTCTTCCTCCATCCACATGATTATCGTGGAAATGCCTCAGTGGTACCAGCGGTGGTTCTCCCACCAGGTAGGGCCTGTGATTCATCGATGGCACTCAAGTGTGGAAAATTGATTGCTAGCTATTGCCAGCAGGCTACGATTAACTCACCAGAGTTGTCTTTGCAACACAAATTAATAGTGGGGAGAATAAAAGCAGAGTGAATAATTTTATTAATTAATCACTTCCTGTAAATAAATGAATTTGCGATTTAAAGGGACAAAATCATAAAAGCAAAATGGAGAGCCTGTGGTCCTTAGGGCAGGGCAGAAGAACTGATCTAAATAGGAATTTGTGGCTGTAAATCAGTGCTGATTTATCCAATGGTGCTTTTTTTCAAGAGGCAACTGGACTTTGTTTTTCCTTGAAGATGTTTCGCTTCTCATCCTAGAAGCTTCTTCAGTTCTCCACCATTCAGTCAGAACTGAAGAAGCTTCCTAAATGAAAAACAAAATGCCTTCAAGGAAAGACAAAGTCTTTCCACAACTTCTGGAGGGAAGCTGTTCCACTGGTTAATTGTTCTCACTGTTAGGAAATTTCTCCTTAGATTTAGATTAGTTATCTCCTTGATTAGTTTCCACCTGTTGCTTCTTGTCCTGCCTTCAGGTACTTTGGAGAATAGATTGGCCCCCTCTTCTCTGTGGCAGCCCCTCAAATATTGGAAGACTGCTATCCTGTCACCCCTGGTCCTTCTTTTCACTTTCATGGAGAACATTGAGAGCCATCTGTCTCCTCCCCTCATTTCTAGCATTTTGCAGGTATAGCAAGATATAAATCAAAGGGAGATCTGAATGGATAGTTGCAAAATAAAAATGCAAATCATCCAGGATGAAGATTGTGGGCTCTTAAACTCATTCCCAATCCTAGCAAATTGGGGAGATGGTTTGGCTGCTTATTTTTATGCGCTTGGTGAATTTTCTTTCTTTTTTTGTCATAAGTTTATTAAAGATTATTATACAAGAAGAACTTACACAATTATAGAATAAAGAAATACATACAAGTTTTTTTAATTAAAAAGTGCAAAAAAAGAAAAAGGAAAGAAAAGAAAAATAGAAAAAGAACCCCTCTCATCCCCAGTATGTATAGTACACATTAACCACTTATCACTACAGTATCTCTTAAAAATATAACCAAACATTTCATCATTCCATACATCACCCAGTTTTCTATAAGTCTGTCTCTAAAACCTCACCTCTCCCTATTAAACTGCAAAAGTCCAGGAAGGGTTGTCAGAAATAACTATATATAAATATCATACAAATAAAAAGAGTGCAGAGAAGGGTAACAAAGAGAATTACAGGTCTGGAAGCTAAAACCTGTGAGGAGCAGTTCAAGGAAGGAGTTATGCTCCTTCTCTCTTCTAGTCTAAGAAGGAGGAGGAGGAGGAGGAGGAGGAGGAGACATGACAGCCGTCTTCTTCCACTTCTGCCACAGAGAAGAGGGGGTCGACTTCTCCTCCAAAGCGCCTGAGGGCAGGACAAAAACTAACAGATGGAAGCTTGTCAAACAGAGATCCAAGTTAGAATTAAGGAGAAGTGAAAACAACTAATCAATGGAACAGTTTGTCTCCTGGAGTTGTGGGTCAATAACACTGGACGTTTTCAGGAATAGACCGGACTACCATACATCTGGGATGATATAAAGTCTCCTGCTTGGACAGAGGGTTGGACTAAAAGGCCTCCAAGGTTCCTTCCAGCCCTAAGATAGTAAGTTTCTATACCCAATCCTGGTGGATTTCCCATGCTCAGAGAAAGTTCTTTCAAAGACTTCAAAGCAGCCACACACACCTGATGCCACCTACCAGTACCCAATCAGAGTACGGGAGGGCAGTGCCCTGATTTTGCTGATGGTGTAAAATATCAATTGCACCAGGCCATTTTAAGGGTCCTGGGGAGCCTAAATGCCAGTTAACATTGGTAGGCTTACTGGTGTCTGTGTTTCTTAACCTGAACCTCCATTTTCTGAGTTTTGAGCCTTCAGGCAACTTCCACATGATCGTTAAGAGAAGAAAATTAAATTTGCATTTTAAACTGACAGCAGCTGTTCTTCTGCTAATGCTTCAGCATGCCTTGGGGGACAGATGATCAAGAGTAAAAAGAGACACAGTCCTCCTATTCCTCCTTTATTTGGGCAAGATTTTCCCGAACGGCACCCTTGTTCCATTAGTACATCTTTCCCACATGCACTTGACCCTTCCTTACAGGAGCCAAGTCCTATAGGAGTTGGAGCGAGAACAATTCCTCCAAACCCTTTCCTTTGTTGAGACCCAAAGCCACTTGAGGCGTCTATGAACTTTCCTTTTTCCTTTTGCCCAAATTGGCAGCCTATGAAACAAATCTCATGTTTGACTTTGGTTGATCTTAAAAAGCTAAGCAGGATTAGGACATGGAAAAGAGACCAACAGCATATCCTACCTCTTAAGCGAGATTGAGATGTTGAAAATTGCAAGCCTTTTCCATTGCCAAGAAGACACCATGGACCTCTCCATAGTCATGAGTGAGAGTGACTTGAAGAACACTTTATTTTTTGACATTTTAAGCTGTTTCACTGGGTGGTGTGGCTGGGTGGTGTGGCTGGCAGCTTTTAAAATTTTAAATTCATTTCAAATTGTGTACCCAGAGCTTGTTCAGAAGATTCCCTTAAAATTATTAGTGGCCACTTCACAAAGCAACAACTCTACCGATTTTGGTTAACAAATCACCAAGGGAGTCTGCAGGGTCTTAAAAATTTAAGGTAACAGTCTTAACCATGCAATCAAAGCCCCACCCACTTTTCTGTGTGATCTAACATGTTTGTGGCCACCATCATCAAGCATATTTTGACCATCCTCTTTGAAGGGCAGGGGTTTTGCTTACCTAGTTCTGGCTGACATATTACGTTTTTAACCCCCTAAAGACATCTCCACCTGTGGGTTGGTTCAGTGTGACATATAAATCTCAGAAAGAGAATGAATTGATTTAACCATGATTAAATGAACATTGGTAGCCTTACTTTGATATTATTTTAGTTCAGTGTTTTGCAACCTTAGTCATTTGAAGATGTGTGCAACAGTTCCCAGAATTCCTCAACTAGTCATGGTGCCTGGGGAATTCTGGGAGTTGAAGATCACACATTTTCAAGTTTTCAAGGTCAAGAATCCTGCTTTAGCTTATCCTTTTAGGTGGCACATTTTTGTTTTAAAATTTACACATCTTCACGTTGAGAGGAACAGTGAGAAGTTACAGACCTCTGAGCATGTTAAACTTTGGCCTGGGCATTTGAGATCATCTTAGGAGTGTCCACCATGCAGAAGGGATCCCCATGTCAACATCCTACAGAAAGTCATATCTGGATAAGGTTTTGATCCACCTTCTGCAATCAGAATAGAAAGGAGTTTAGTTGTGAACGTAAATACAGAACATTAAAGATGCGTCTTCTGGTCATCAATAAATAACCCAGTGCAGAAAAAACACACAAGATTTGTCACCAAATGGGAGAATGTAACAAACAATGAAAGTTTCCAAAATTAATTTTCTTCATTTTAGTTTATTAAAATTGCTTTCATCCATCTCCCATGTTAAATATTTTATTTTTTCATATTAATGGCTGCAATTTCTATTCTGCCTTCCTTCTGTCATTAACACTGTACAAACTTAATATCATTAGTATTTTTTTCCTTTAATTATGTGACTGGAAGAAGAAAAACATCAAAGTTTCCGTGAAATTGGAATAGTATATCTAAATTGCCTCATGTTTATTTTAACATTAACAGTAAATGAAGCTAATGGGCTTCTATATTATTAAAAGCAGCCATTTGTGTCCTGCCTGCTTTAAAAGATGTTAAATAATTAGTTATTTAATAGAGAGGTGCAAAACAAATCAAAGAAGCAGAAAAACTTTGGAGCGGGAGGATTCGGGCCTCAAACTGGAAACTCTTTTTGAGCGGAAGCAGAGAAGGAGGGTGAAGCTTTGCATCCTGCTGAGATACTGATAGCTCTAATTTAATAACAAGCCTGAAGGGGCAGGTTCTGTCATCTTGGAGATGTAAAGGAGTTTCACGTCTTGAAAGGATATTTGGACATAATTTAATGAGTTTTGATGGGATTCCTTGGCTACCTGAGAAGTTCACTCAGCATCAGCCCTGGAAGAGCGATGGAGGAAAGAAAACATGGCTCGCTTTCTTAACCATTATGCTTTTGGGCCCTCAGTTGGGGGAGAGTTGGAAAGAACAGAACGGTGTTATCTCCACGCTCTAGTGCAGTGTTTGTCAACTTCGGCACCTTTAAGTTGAGTGGATTTCAGTTCCCGGAATACCCCAGCCAGCATGCTGCCTGGGCAATTCTGGGAGTTGAAGTCCACCCAAGTTTTCAGGTTGTTAAGATTGAAGAACATTGGTCTAATCTGAGTGAGTCTTCTGTCTGACAGAGCCTACTCTTTAACCCTTTTTTGTGGTGAGTAGCTTGTCTTTCTGAATCTTCCACTGCTTGGGGGACTGGTAGGTTGTAGAGAAAAAGGTAGCATTCCCAGACATTGCAGGAAGAGAAGCGTGTTAGTCTACGGATAGGAATATAATCCATTTAGATTAGACCAGTGTTCTTCAACCTTGGCAGCTTAAAGATGCATAGACTTCAACTCCCAGAAGTCCCCGGGCAGCATGCTAGCTGGGGAATTCTGGAGGGTTGAAGTCCACTCAGCTTAAAGGTGCCGAAGCTGACAAACACTGATCTAGATCAGTTTTCTCCCATTGGAGATCTCCATGAGGCCTACATCTCCTCAAATACACAGTAACTGTGGACTACTTTGCAGTGGTTGAATATTTTGAGCACTGTAGCTGCAGCCAATGGTGCACAACACCTGTGGTTTCAGAACCTGAGAGATAAAGTTAGACCTTTTGCTGCACTAGAAGCAGGAGGCAAAAGCAGAGGGTCAAAAACATCAAGCCTAGACCCCATTGGCACGTGCACTTCCTGCATGTCTTGTGATAAATAAGCTGTTATCATTTCTATTCCTCTGAGATGCCTCCTTTCCTGTGGATGCCTCTCTGGGGGGGGGGATTAAAGCTCTGCCGGGTTTTGATGCACATCACATGTCTTGTAGCTGCCACCTTGACTTTTTTTGGCCCACCCTGACTAATTGCTGACTCTGTGATCAACTGTGCAAGATGATTTTGTCGTCTGAATCATTTCAAGCCTGCTTTACTAATGTCCAGCCTGTTTCACAGGTGGAATCCCATGGATTAATTTTCCGTAGAGGCTTTGTCCTCCAGTAGCATTGCTCAAGGGAAACCAAAAACGACCATACATCTGAAACAATATATGATCACCAAAGAGATAAGTGCAAATAGAATGACTGGGGCAAAAGAAAGCAAAAGTAGTATCAATACTGATAGGTATTTTGGGTGCAATCTACAAACATCTGGATCACTATTTAAACACCCTCGGCATTGACAAAATCACCACTAGTCAGTTGCAAAAGGCAGCTTTATATATCTGTGACAATGCTTTTAACACCATCAAACAAAAAATCTGCCTATTCCAGGGCCTTGGAAAGGACCCAGTAGGTGTACAAAAATGTCACATCCAGTCTAAACAGCTGGTTGACTATGCAATGAACCATAATAATAAGGTAATAATGCAATCCCCAAACATCTGAAGCATCACTTGAAGACCATCGACATTGACAAAATCACCATTGGTCAATTGCAAAAGGCAGCTTTATTTAAAACAACTTACATCCTGTGATGATACCTTTAACTTGGGCAGGGGGTTGGACTAGAAGACCTCCAAGCTCCCTTCCAGCCCTATAATTCTATGAACATCTGCCTATTCCAGATCCTGGGGAAAGACTCGATAGATGGACAAAAATGCCAAATCCAGTCTAAACATTTGGCTGACTATGTGAGCAACATAAGAATACAGGTAGTCCTCAACTTCCGACCACAATCAAGCCCAACATTTCTGTTGCTAAGTGAGACAGTTGTTAAGTGAGTTTTGCCTCATTTTATGACCTTTCTTGCCACTGTTGTTAAGTGAATCACTGCAATTCTTAATTTAGTAACGTGGTTGTTAAGTGACTGGCTTACCCGTTGACTCTGCTTGTCAGAAGATCATAAAAGGGGATCACCTGACCCCCAGGATGCTGCGACCGTCATAAATATGAGTCAGTTGCCAAGTGTCTGAATTTTGATCACATGACTATGGGGATGCTGCAATGGTCATAAGCATGAAAAATGGTCATAAGTCACTTTTTCCAGTGCCGTTGTAACTTCAAAAGGTCACTAAATGAACTGTTGTAAACCGAGGACCGCCTGTAATAAGGCCAAGAGCACTGGCCAGCTGTAACCAAAGGAGCATAATTGTTGGACCCCCTCTAATGCATGAAAGAACAATTTCTGCTGGAGAACTGTTATTTTAAAAAAGAGCTAGGATTCGCTGAATGGCTGTCAGCAATGTAATGAGGAAATTCTGAAAGCATCCAGAATTGCCAAATACCTTGTCAGAATCCAGCACTTGGCGTATTCATCACCCACTCCTTAAGACATTAAAGCTGATTTAAAACAAGGAGCATTTTCTCTCCTCTCTCTTTAAAGGCAGACATTATTGTTACGTAGGCTTTTGTTTTAATTAAAATAGGTACTGAAATCCTCAATGAAGCTTTGGTGGATTGTTAAAAGGGTACCAATCCATTTGCAAAACAGCCAAAAATATATCCTGGTAATTGTCATTTTCCAACATTGAGAAGGCATAATTTGGTTCAATCAAATCAAAAAAGCAGCTTTAATTTACAGAGCAATAAAATTCACTAACCTCACTTTCGATCAAAGAACTAAAAAAAAAAAAAAAAACCAGTCCAGAGCACAGTGAAATGTTTATTTTGTACAATGGCCCATAACTGCATTTATGTGATTTAAAAGCTTTTTTTTTTTTTTGAACCATAGAGTAATATTACATGCATATAGAATTGAGCGCTTGTTATGGCTCATTTGTCCCCACAGAGACCAAAAATCATTTGCTCCTCAATTCCTTCCTAAAAGACTTATTTTATATATAATTCTCATAGTTTGCTTTAAATGGGATCTTTAGGTTAAGGTTTTTCCCTCCCTGTGGCTACGGTTTGTCAAAGCAGCTGGTAAGGGGTACTTAATGCATCTCAACATCTTTTTTTCCATTTGGGGCACAAATTAAAAAAGAACACAGTGGTGTAGCTGTCATGAAAATCCCACCTGCCTCCAAAAGATAACAGATCCACAAGAGGCAGCTTTTACCCTTTATTTCTTGCCCAGCCTTCAGCTAGAGAATAAATATTTATATTATTACCATATTATTATATTAATTACATTATTATATTATATTGATATAACATATTAATAAATATCCAATATTTTAGGGGCTGCTACAAAGAAGAAGGGGTCAACTTATTTTCCAAAGCACCAGAAGGCAGGACAAGAAACAATGGATGGACACTAATCAAGGAGAGAAGCAACCTGGAATTAAGGAGAAACTTCCTAACAATGAGGACAATTAACCAGTGGAACAGCTTTTGCCTCCAGAAATCATGGGTGCTTCATCATTGGAAGTTTTTAAGAAGAGACTGGACAGCCACTTGTCTGAAATTGTAGAGGGTCTTCTACTTGTGCAGGGGGTTGGAATAGAAGACCTCCAAGGTCCCTTCCAACTCTGTTATTCTTTTAAGTAAAAATAAGCCCAGATCTGCATGACTCAGCCTTCAGACAACTTTACCTGGCTGGCTGAGAATCGTCACTGACATTCAACCAGAAAGTTTTCAGATTCTCTGTGCAGCATAGTCAAAAAATAGATAAATTTATTGTTGCCCATTCAAAATGAGAGAAAAGAACACTGCGGTATAGGAAATCTTCAACTTATGACTGGTTGTGTAGTGACCCTTCAAAGTTACGATGGACTCCCCCAATGGGGACTTGCGACCCAGTTTTGTAGTTCCAATGATGCCCCCTCCTACTGTCACATGACTGCCTTTTGGGTGTTCAGCATTTACCGTTCTTTCAGTGCCCAGCATTTACTTCCAGTTTCCAGCTGAAACCAAACCATAGTGAACAATGGGCTTGCTTAATTATCACAGCATTCATTTAATGTCTACTGTGTTCACTTAATGACCACTGTGAAAAAGGTAGTGAAATTGGGTCTGGCCACATCATGATGGTAAAAACCATCATGACTTACGACTGTAATTGCCAGGCTCAGTTACAGAGGTAACCCAAGGACTAGCTGCAGTCTAGTTTACATTGCTCCATGATTGACACCAAAGGCATCTTCTGGAGAACTTTTTTTCCTCCTCTTAAATGTTTCCTTCAAATGTTTAAATTTGGAAGACCCCCATAAATAGCAAGGTGTGAA